TCTACAGTGAACCATCTCGCCGTAGGTTCTCTGGAAGAAAGCTATTTTTAGAGGAGTTGGCTCTGGTATACGAAGAGACCAGAACACACTCCACTGAGCTGCCTTGGCTCTGGAAAAAACCTAAGAGAGTGTGCCAGGTTGCTTTGCATGAGAGCTAGGCACCCCGTCCAAATGCTGGAGGGCACAGAACCTCTCCCAAGGCCAAGGCCATTTAAAAGAATCTTTAGCAGCCCAGGATTGAGGAGAGGGAAGGCAGAGCCTGAAATGGTACCAAGCATCTTAAGGGACAAGTGCAAGTGTGGATTCTTTAGGTGGCCATGGGCCAGAGGGGGAATTCTCAGTATTCAAAACAAAAAGTTTTGGATGTCTTCGGCATGGTAAAATCAGACATCTCTATTTCTTCTGGGCATGACTTGTTGTTTCAGTTCTGTTCCTTTTTGCTTTCCTACCTTTTCAGAGGAGTCTGCTAGTCTCCTCTCACTGCTAAGAGGATGCATTGTAGTAGCTTTAGAGACTTTTAGGCAAATGCACCGGTCCCCAAGCCTGGCTGCACTGCTGTTACAAGATGCAAGACTCTTTCCTCTCTGAAAGTTCTGTTCTACATGGTACCACTCGAACTGCCCTCAGCAGCCACAGAGACTTGCCTCGTCTGCTTCAGTTTCTCAGCTTCATTTCATCACAAAGGAAGAAGGAAACAAACACGGCAGGAAGAGTACTGTGTAATCCATCTGGTAGACTGTGGGTGCCCAGCAAGCAGGGGCAGCCTTAGTGCTATGTCTGCATACATTTGCATGAAGATAAGAGAATCCAAGGTTCAAATAGTAATGCATGTGGCTGGCCTCTGTCTGGAGCTCACTCTCTCAACCATCACCTTGTGAAGAACCAGCTAGCTTTCTCCCTCCCCGACTCCTGCCCCCTCCTTGCCTCTCTCCTTCCCTTTCTCCATTCCCCTTTTCACCCTTTTTCATCCTTTCTTCTACACTGACAGTTGAACCCAGGGTCTTCACATTTTGCTACCTCCAAAGTCCTTTTTAATTTTGAGACAGGGTCTCACTAAGTTACCCAAGCTGGACTTGAACTTATGATCCTGCTTCAACATCCCAGAGGTTGGGATTAAAGACATGTGTCACCATCTCTGACAGAACTGACCTTCCTTTATGGAGATATCTCTTGCATTGGTAGTTCTTGCTTTTAGAGTGTGGTTTCCAGTCCCTGTCACCATCTCTCACTGAAGGAGTAAAAAGGGTTACAGTTGTAGCTATAGGAGCACAACATCCATTGCTAATTTAGGATGTTCTATGCTAAGCATCTTATACCACACATTCATTTGGCCTTCCTTGGAACCATTAAGGACATACTGCTAGTCTCTGGACCTTTCAGTTGAGGAAACCAAGCCTCAGTAAAGTTATTTGCACACAGCTGGAATCCCACGTGGGGAGCTGGGAAGAAGACTGCAATTTTAAGGCCAGCGTGGGCACTTCAGCAAGATCCTATCTCAAAGTAAAAAACAAAAAGGGCTGGGAGGATGTAGCTCAGTGGTGGAGTGCTTCTGGGTTCAAACTTCAGCAGGGAAGGAAAGAAAGTCATTTGAAAACAGTTCTAGGCAAGATGAGCTCCAGGATGTGTGTCTCCCTGAGACGTGGCCTGGACTCTCAATCAGCTGGTTGTGGTTTCATGTGTGAAGGCACTCTGCTTGGTTTTATTTTCCAATGAAGTCAGTGTATATGCACATATAAACTTATGATTATGCAATTACATGTAATTATGCATATATAGAACATACACGCCTTCTTTTTTCAGCGTTCATAATTTTGTAAAAGTAAAGGACAATGCCTGGCACATATAGTTTTAGCATTTGAAGGCTGAGGCAAGAGGATCTCCATAAGTTTGACACCAGCCTGGGCTACATAATGAGTTCCAGGCCAGGCTGAACTACATAATGAGACCCTGTCTCATAAAACAAAACAAAAGACATTTTTAATAAAACAAAACCTGAATAATGAAGTCCAGAAACTTAAAATAAAGGATAAGCTTTCAAGGTGAATATAGAAAAATGTCACTTTGTTCTAAACTTTCCACTTTACCACATATTGGGAAAACATGATGGCCAGACAATCTTTTGGCAGTTACTTCTCTACCTTGTCAATGTCTCTTTTAAATTTAACATACATATGTGGGCCCCAGCATCCGAGTATGGTCTGGCCTGCATAAGGGGAACGTCCGGTGTGAATATTTGTACTGTCTCTCACCTGGAGACCTGGTTTATGTACCTGTGAGCCCCATTGATGGGCACAGAGGTACAAAGCAGGGCAGAAGGGAGGGCAGGCACAGGGCCCCAAATCAGGGCTGGGTGGGGGCCTCTAGTCATGGCCTGATGACTCAGATTGGCCTCTTCCCTCAGACTGTGGCTTTGAAACCTGGCCAAGGAAGGTCTACAGCTGCCAAAGACCAAAGATAAAAGCCGGCAGATGGAAGGAGACAGGAACAAGGGCAGGCAGTGAAAAAGAGGAGCAGTCTTGGAGACTCTGCCATGAGATCGGGCTGGCAGGAGTCCTGTCTTGAACATCCGTCCACCGTGGGAGGCTGGAGTATCATCATAGGGAGGGTGGAGGGTGAGGAGGAGGGCTTGCAGCGAGGGGAGCACAGGGCGAAGAGAGGGGGTAGGAAATGGAGTAGAAAGGTCAAGGCTGGGGAGGGAGAGAGGCAAGGGAAGAGGAGGAAGGGAGCACAATGAAGAGGACACGGTGCTGCACAATAAGCAGTGAGATTCCCCAGAGGAGACGGGGGAGCCCGGGTGAGTGGCAGTGCTGAGGGGGTTCTGGGTGTGTGGCGACCGGAAGGGGCAGCTCTTTGTTTTGCTGGGTGAGGGAAGGTTGAGGCCTGGGGGGGGCGCAGGTGAAGGACACGAAGCAATGGATTGCAGGTGAAAAGGCCGGGCTGAGCAGCTGCTGCCTGCAGGATGGGCACGAGAGCATGGGCTGTACCCACTGGGCTGGGCAGGACAGCTTTAAAGAGAATCAGAGAAAAGAGGGCCAGGTAAGAGAAAGAAGAAGGTAGAGCACCGCTGCTGTAGGCCAAAATGTTGCTTCTGCTCTGCACAGGGGTAAACGAGACCTCAGAATGGCTCCTGGCTGGCCCCTCACACACTTTCAGACCCCAATCTGCGGCCTTCCCCTCTACTTGCTCCATTCTAGTCCTAGCAACCTTTGGTGCCCCAGGCACACACCCACCTCAGGGCGCTTGTGCGTGCCTTCCCCCTGCCTGTCACTCTCTTCCTCCACATAGCTACTTTCTTCTCAGTTGCCTAAGTCCTATCCCTCGTTTCATTTTTCTCCATAGAATCTACCACCTTCCAGCCGATTATCTCACTTACTCTGTTTATTGTTTATTCATCCCTCCCCCAAATACAAAAGTCATAAAGGCAGAAATTTTGTCTCTTTTGTTCCTTGCTGTCTCTCCCGGAGTAAAACAACAGCTGCAACACAGTGGCCTCACAATGTGCTCAATGTATTTTCAAGAGAATGAAAGAGTCAACGGGCCATCTGTTGAAGTGAATGGAGAATAGAGAACACACGTGGGGAAGGAAGGAAGAACAGGTGGCAGAGGGGAAGAGAGGAAGGGATGAGGTGTAAGCAGAGAGTCCAGGGAAATTCACTTTTTACTTGGGAAACTTCATCTAATGATGTTTTCAGGACAGAGGTTACAAATAATGTTGTCAATAAAGCCGTGTAAAGGTGAGGACAGAAAATGAGAACAACTATGGTCATTTAAAGCATGATCCTGAGGTCATGATACCCTGATGCACTACTCATTCAACAACACGATCCTGGCCATTTTCTAATGTATGAATAAAGGTGGACCAGGATGCACTACATGGACAAACACATTGGACTGAAGCTTTTACTTTTGGCACGTACACATGACCTTCACCATCTTCCTCCGGAAGATCTACATGCAGGACAAAACTCTGCAGTGGTTTGAAATGATTGTGAGCCCAGTCCCCTTCTCAGACTGTGGTGGCACTGGGCCAGTTCTGCTTTGATACTTCCCCTCTTCTACCACAGCCATTGCTTTATAAAATGCTTGTTAAAGTGTTAGTGTGCCACATCCAGTGTCTCATTTGGTTTTCACTGTGGCCCATGGAAGTATAATTCTATTGTTATGACATTACTGTAGATAAGAAAACTACAGTGGAAAGACAGTGATTAATTTACCTATGGTCATACAATAGTACATAGGACAGTCAGGTATAAACAGCAAAACTCTAGGGAAGGGACTGGCTCACTCATTGGAAAGGACCAGACAAAATATATTTTAGGCATTGTGGGCCACATGGTCTTTTGTTGCAAACACTCAACACAGCTGCAAAAGAGTGGGCATATATAGTATATGAACAAATGTGGATGGAGGTGTTCTAATAAAACTTTATTTATAATTTTGTTGTTTCTCTTTGATGAAAAACCCAGAGGGAAACAAGAAGCATAATGGGGGGATAGATGTTCGGAAGAAGGAAGACCACATTCAAATGGAAAAAGGAACAAGGGAGCAGGGAGAGGGGAGAAAGGGAAGGAAGGACCAGGAAAAATAAAAGAGAACAGAAGGAAACAGCATTTGTAAATGGGGAGGGGAAGAACGGTTTCAGGGAGGGGAGGGGCATAGGGAACAAAAGAAGAATCAACGTGCAGGTACAAACTCCCTAAGATGAAAGTGACCAACATATATGACAAATACGTACAAATAACAAAATATTACAAAAATAAAACTCTATTTACAAAAACAGATGGTGAGTGTATTTGGCCTAGGGATGTATCGTGTTGACTCTGTTCTGGAGTCTATGTTCCTGGCCACTGAGCTGTCTTTCCTGGGACAGCAAACAGCTGCCTGAGCAGCTCTTAGGGACATCTTTAAAATCTCAATACGCTGATAGTCTAGTAGAAGGTTGGTGGGGACAAAATGGTGAACTCACCTGGGACAGAGGGGTGGCAAATCAGCGTACTTACATTTCAATGATGCTCTCTGGCAGGTTGGCAGGGATTTCGGTCAAGCCCTTTCCTCGACAGTCTACGATATTATTACTGCAAGTGCAGGTAGAAGGGCATGAGAGGGAGTTGGCGTTGCAGGTTGGAGCCTCTGAGTGCGGACCTGTGGGGCCAGAGCACAACGTCCATGACTCGTATCTATGTCGGGAGCGAGCTAGCACCTGTTTACTTCCCTGGTAAATTAGTGGACAGATCATCACTAGCTGATATCCCTCTTCTCCTAGGAGTCCTTGGAGAGTCTGACATTGACCTTGTTCTTCTACATTTGTTCTAACTTCCCTGCTCTCCCACCATCCTAGGCTTGTATAGAAAGAGGATTCCTTAGAGTTAGTCACTCAAGAAAGTATGCTGCTGGAACCCAAACGCTGCTGAGACAGATGGCTTTTTTAGGGCATCCAACATCTGAATGGTGCCCTGAGGTTCTGGCTCTTACCTGATGGTTGGATGCTGAGTGTAGGCACAACCTTTTTATTTGGTTGGAAACCACTGGAAATATCAAAACAGTGGTAAAGGTGGCAGATTTCCCCTACTTGGGGCACTGATGCCACAATGTTCCTACATTCATCACCAGTGCTACCTAAGCCAGTTCCAAATAGCTTTTATGTTCACGAAACAAACAAATACAACTTCTCTTGCTAGAAAAAAGGTAGCTGAGTTGCCCCATACTGTAGACTCTGTTTTTCATTTTATTTGAGGTAATAACCAGGGTGAATTTAAAGCAAAGTGATAAAAAAAACCCATGCAATGGTACCCAAGGAGATTATTTAGAAAGCCAAACACAAACACATCCATCACTAACTTAACTCAAGGCTCACAATCACTAAGCATCCTAATGACTTTCTCTAGTGGTCACATCAAATCCCAAACACGAGAAACACATTTAAATGTTTTAAAAACAATGTAAACATTTCCATGCTTTGATCACCACCTCAAAGTGAGGTAAGAATCTCAAACACATGTTTTTTAAAATTGGATGTTACAGTCTACAAGGGAAACTCCACCCAGTAGGCCTCCCAGGGCCCCACCCTGAGCTTTCTGGGTCTGGCCAGCAGTGGTCACTTCAGCGTCTTTCCCGATCGCCATCTGAGCAAAGGGCCCTGGGATGAGCTCAAGCTCAGACCAACTCTGCAGATCCCCTCACTACTTGCATGTGGAATCCCTGGCTGGTGGGCCTTGGATGCAGATTGACTACAAAAGAGGGAACACATCTGTGGGGAAAAATGACTTATGGTTTGGCCTCTGTTCATGAAGAAATTAAAGCCAGAGTGAATACAGCTACAGGAGCTGAAACAGATAAGCAGTCAGGCTGGGGCCAGGGCTCACACGGACATGGAGGGTCCACCTCTGCATTCAGTAGTCCCCATGGCCCAAGAGGAGACCTGGTGAGGAGCTATCGGTGCTCACGTTGATATCCATAGCTTAATGTCAGATCTTCCAGAAAGTGGCAGTCCAATAACTAGAGATTCTTACTGTTCTTTGAACACACACACACACACACACACACACACACACACACACACACATTGTAAAATATCTTCCTAGCTGGGACATTTGAGAACATATTCTTATCTGATACACAAAGACTTAAAGCCCCCTAGGACCCCACTAGGAGAGCCAGTGGAGACCATGGAAAATGCCAGAGAGCTTATGACTTACACTACAACCCCCACTGGAATATTCTCCTAAGGAGAGTGGAGATACTAGCGCTGTCCCAAATTGGCAAAGACTTCACATTTCTGCGAAAGCAGCAACAAAGAGAGACAGCAGATCAAACAGGAGGGGGTGTTGCGGCAGACAGAGCGGCCTTTGGAGTCTTTCTGCCTTGAGCTGAATCTTGGTTGCATTGTTTTCCCCTGGGCTTCAGTCTTTCCCATCTATAAAATGGGGACAATCACAATAGTTGCTTCATAGCATGGATTGTTGTGAAGCTGAAAACAAGGGAAGTAGATGCACGAAAAGGTTTTAGAAGAATGCCTGGCACTGAGTAAGAAAGAGCTGAGCGATGCTAGCTGCTAGCTGTTGAGCCTTGCTTTGCTACTCCATGTCTGTGAGACCTTGGGCAGCTCACAGGACCTGTCTCTGAGCCTCTCTGTTGCCATCTCACTGAATAAGGAGTTTTGATGGATATGATTTCTGAAGTCCTCACTGGGACCACAGATCCACTGCTCCTGTTCCTTGGGTGAATGGGAGGAGAGTGAGCAGACACATACCAGAAGTGTCTCCTGCCCTGCTCTGTCTCTCTCAGCGGGGTGCACGGAGCAGCAACAGCTTGAGGGCTCCCATCCAAAGGAGGCTGGGAGCAGTGGGCAGGTGTTCTGGGGCTTTCGAAGTATAGGTGCTGTTTCCTGAGGAAAACAGCCGTGCCTGGGTGCCCTTCATGTCAAAGGAAATGTGTACTTGGTCAGGCCAGTACACACTTCATTTGACACACTTCCTTTGGGAGATACCCGGGGGGCTGCAGCCTGAGGCCTTCCAGATAGAGGATGGAAAGGCAGTCCGCCTTCTGATTTGTCAAGATTGTTACCTGGATGGAGCATATTAGAAAATGAGGAAGAGGGACCAGCCGCAGTGGCGTGCGTCTGCAATCCCAGTGCTGGGGAGACTGAAAACAGGAGGATCACTAAGAGTCAGAGCTGCATAGTGAGACCCTGTACCAAATACATAGAAAAAGAAAAAAGAAAGAAAACGCGGAAGAAAGACATATGTAAGGGCTCCTACTGGCACTAAGAAGTTCCCACATGGATTTTTTTTTTTCATCCTCAAAGCTGCCCCTCTCATTGCTGTTGGACTAAATTCTGTTCTAAACCAGGCCCAGGCTGCAGGGTTGGGTGCCCCTGGGAACTGGCCGGGTCTTTCCCAGGGTGGCTCTGACTGTTGGCAGTGTGGGCTCTACTTCAAGGGATGCTGTCCAAGCAAAAAAGCCTGTGAAAAGGATTCCTTAACCAGGTCACTAACAACACCTTTAATTACACAGAGAGAAGCAACAGTAATTACAGTCTCTGTCAGTACCCTGCGCTGGAGGACAGCGAGGTTGTTATCGTTTCCATTAACCACAGCATTTCAGGTTCCAGATGAGGTTGAGGGATAGGCTCACTTTCTCGGCAAGTGTCTTCCCCTGATTTCTGCCCATGGGACACGCCCACTTCACGCAGGCCTGAGTGCCTCCGAGTGACAGAGATACCCCTTTCCCCTTCACTTTCTCCATGTGGACACATGGAGACCAGAATGCAAATTCTGCAAGGGTAGCAACTGTTCTGAGTCTTCATCGCCGCTGTATTTTCCAGGCCTAAAAGAAGGCTTGTCCCAGAACACAAACTTGATAAATATGCAATGGATGGATGAACAAGAGTGTGGACACATGAAGGAAACTAGCCTTGAAGGTGAGGTGGAGCTGAAAGTCACAGGTACAGAGGTGCATGGTCCCAAGTTCTGAACACCCCAGCTCTGATATGCAGTGTCGATGGTAAAGTGGGGAGGTGATGTGGCCACTGGGGATGGAACTGTCCTGCCTGACGCTTGCTTCTGTCTGCTGTGGCTCTCAGGGCTGGCAAAGTACATTTGTCCATCACCTGATCTTCCCATGGGCCTCTCTGGCCTGCCTGGGTCAAGCTGTCCTAGGTGCTGTGCTGTGTAATGCCAACAAGTCCCTCCCTCCTGCCCTTCCTGGGCACATGGGCAGTCAGGGACAGGAGGACACACCTATCCTCCCACCAAACAAGCAATAGCCCAATAAGCTGGGAAGCAGAGAAGGAGAACTGCATTTCCATATTGGGACAGAGAACTCTCTCTACCTATCTTTGATGAAAGGAATATGCAGCTCTGCCTCTGCCTCTGCCTGTGAGCACATGTGGCCTCTTTTGGTACACACATTCAGTGGATCCATGCCATCCTCCAGTGAGCCCACCCATTGGCAGGCACAGTGGCTGCAAAGCAGAGCACAGGAATGCACAGCCCACGAGACCTCTGTAATCTGCTTTCTATGATGTTCTCTTGTCAGTTAAGAAGCACAGGCAGAACTATGCTTTACTTTTTGTTTTTAAATAAGTCCCTAAGCTATCTGTTCTTGAAAGTCTTTCAGTGGGACTAGAATACCACTCTACCTGAGGTGGAAGAATGTTCTCAGCCACACGGGGAGGTGGGGATGTATCTTCCCTGTAGGGGCTGCCTTCACTTAAACTTTGGACTCTTGATTCAAAGCCAAAGCAACTTCTCTGGCAAACCAGGTGGAAACTAGTCCGTGCAGTATTTGAGTATCTCCCAAGAACCCCAGGACCATGCCTGATGTCTTGAGGGAAGGCAGAGTGTTGGGGAGTGGAGATGTTGGCTCCTTCCTGCTTGGCATTAATTTCCAAGGTCACCCAGAATGAGGGCACTTGTGGAGTGAGAGGGCGGGGATGTATTCCCAGTCCAACCTCGGTCTCTGAATCTGCCAGCCTGGGTGGGACACTAGTTAGCTCTTCTGTCTACAGAGCTCTTGCTCTAGTTCTTGGAAAAAAGAAAGAGAAGCCCACGAAAAGGAGCTGGTTCCTGCCCAGCTATAGCCTCATCTTTAATTCTTTTTCTGATGAGGAAAACGGGGCTGACAGTTACACTGAAAGCACAAGGCCCTGACTTGTCTGCTCAGAGGAAGGGGCAACGATCACTGAATGTAGACTGAGACAGGCCCATATAGATAGGCAGGTAACAGAAGCCCCAAGGTAGGACCCCAAGTGCCAAGGATGCTGTGGTGGCCAAATTAAGCATGACCATCATTCTCATACAGCAGCTATATCTGCTACACGTTTGCTATGTGCTGGGGCTACATCAGACATCTTGTGTGTATTAGCTCACTCGGCCCTCATCACGAGCACGATTTAGGATCTTATGTCTGCTACTCCCATTTCATTGATGAAAAAATGGTAGAAAGAGAAGGTTAAGCAACCTGCCCAAGACCACATAGCTACGGGACAACAAGGTTCTAAAGTTTGGTCTCCTCTGCCAGAAAGGCATCCAGAAAGCCTCTGATTATTGCCATGAAACAGAAAAGCACCAGAGCCTCAGAGGCAGGAACTATGGGTTCAAGGACCGAAATGTGGACCGAGTAAATGACACTAGCAAGAGGTGGACCTTCTTCTGATTCTTTCTTTCTGTCTGAAAAAAAAATCACTCCGAGTAAAAAATAAATCTGATGGCCTTATATATAGAAATAAATTAATTCTAGTATTCAAATTAAGCTTCCCTTCTGGCCTCTGGCCTTTCAAAAGCCAACAACAGACTGCAACGACAATGGAGCTTGAACAATTATGATGAGAATATAAATGAATGTGATTTAAATACCAGAGGCATGATAATTTTGGAAATGGCTAAATAAACCTAATAATCTCATTCTTGCAATGTTCAATTATGGTGTTTTAATTAAAACCTCCTAAGGAGATGGGTGGCTAGTCATGGCTTACCTTAATTATCTTTTTACTTAGTAACTAGCCCCCAATTTATATTAAAAAAATGAAATGAAAGGAAAGAAAGAAGAATAAGAAGACGAGGAAAGTCTCTTGTTTCCAGGGAGATAAGTATATTTCATTTTTAATAATAAATGAGGAAGTGTTTATGGATAAGCTGTTCGGCTCAAGACTCATTGTAGGAATGGGAACACCTGAAAAAAATGAGATGTGGCCCCTTATTATTAGGAGATGAAATTAATATCTTTATGAAAAGATGATACATTCAAGGCCATGGATATAAAAGTGGAAAACAGGCAAAGCAATGGATTCAAAAAATATTCTAAGGAAACAGTAATTGATACAGGAGGTGAAATATTTAACTACTAGCCACAAATTATAAACTAAGGCAGATAGAAACTCTCACAGAATAACCAGGAAAGGAATATATGGGGAAAAGAAATCTCTCTTGAAAAAAAAAGAAGACAACTCGCAACTCGTATAACGTGAAGTTTTTCTCTGGTGTATTATCTTGAACTTTGACAAGGTTTTGGCCTGGCCAAATAACACGAAGGAAGCACAGCCCGTGGGTTCGTGGACTGCTCAGGCCCCAGGCTTCCTCTCCAGACGAGGGAAATGCACAGAGAAACCCTCTCAGCGCTCCCCCAGGAGGCAGGTTGTGCTAACCAAAAAATAAATGTATATTCTTACACCTTGGTGAAGAATTCCCAACGCCCACTCAGGGAAAGAAAATAAATATCTTGGGCAGAGTTGACAGAGATGAATTTTGCAAGAGTGCTGCTAGCAAAGTTGGGGGTTAGCGGAAGTGATAAGAAGCCCATCTCTGGGGCTTCTGTGGAGAAACAGCCGGGCTCCAGACAGCTGGATTTAATTCAAAGGGAGATATCGGGAGCTTGGGCAGGCAGAACCCTCCCAGGCTGAGCGAGATAAAGCTCTTTCCTGTCTCCAGAGTGCTCTGGTGAATTTTTCGGTATCACTAAAGGGCCAGTGGGGCTTTTCTTCTGCTTGTTGACAGAGACCACTGCTAACAATGCTGTAGGCAGGGATGGCTTCATTGGTGCTCCATGCCTCCTTCTCCTGAGCAGATGACCTCGAGATTTTTAGAGAAATTCCTGTCTCTCTGTTTCTTGACCAAAGTCCTATTCTAGTTGAATCATTAGAGAAATGGAATGGGGAGCACTTGTGGCTTTTCAGCTTCCAACAACCACCGCCGGGTCCACACAAAACAGCGTCCTTCAGAGCCCTTCCTAAACCCTGGCCTGCACCCTCCAAGGTGCATGGGGTGGCCAGCACCCAAGGGAGGCCCCCCTTCTCTTCGATCTCCTTCTCAGGACCTCAGCCTCATAGTCTGACCACCCAGATGGAGCCTTGCTCCTCACCATTTCCTCGGGCCCACTACCCCTCACAATCATAGAGAAGGCAGCACTTCCTGTGGGCTGTGCTCTTCCACACCTTGCTGATGAGGTGGAAGTTCACACATCACAGGGATTCAATGCACCACTTCTTCTAGACCATTATAGCTGACTGTGGCCTTTGCTAAATGAACCTCTTATGGCTTCTAGCTTTTAATCCATGGGTACTAGGTAAAATATTTAAATAATTTCTCATTACAGGTGGAGTTAACTAGCACACTGGTGTTTGGAACTGAAGTTCTCACATCCTCAAAAGATACCTGGCTTCATAGTAGAGGCTACAGGGCCCATCACAAGGAATGAACTTGTCTGCTATGAACAGGGAAGTTATTAAGGATGCTCCTGTACAGCTAACAACGATCCACTGCTAGATCTTGATTTGTCTAAGAAGGGAAGTTTGGGGCATCAGCATTTCCAGGACATAGGAAGGACAGCCCTCAGTCTCATGGGGTTTGGTTCTTAACTGCTGGGTAAACAGGGTCTTACCCCTCTGGACAGGGAGGTAGTCACAGGACGAAGTGACATTCACGGCTGAGCACTGCATTAAACTCGGCACCCACCTACAACGATGTGTTCTAACATTCTCTCTAATTAGTTTTTCTCACTAGCTCTTCGATGACTCCTGCACTCTATAATTATTTCTTTCCCTGGCACTTATGCCAATATTGCACCCTTTGCCTAATAATTACACCAATTATAGTCGCTATATTTGAATTTGGTGGCTATGTGATAAACGGTTTTATTATACACTGTGTGATGGGAAGTGATTTCTAAGTGGGTGTCTAGAGGAAGCTATTGAGGTACTGCTCTGAGATAAGTTAAAAATGTTTTCAGAGAATACATGATGTGCTGAAGTAATGCTGTGATGGGAGGAAGCAGCACAGAGAGACAGGAAATCAAGTTCAAAGTAATTCTTGCACAGAATGAACACAGCCTGAGGGCAGGGGAGGGACAGTCTGTACTTTGCGCCATTCTGGGGTCCCGGGAGCACAGGCCAGACTCCGTAAGTTCTATTTCTGGCACTGGGATTGAATTCAGGACCTTGCGCTTGCCAGGCAGGGGCTTAGGCCGCTGAGCTATCTTCCCAGCCCTAAGTTCTCTCTCTTAGAAGTCATCACTGTTTAGAAAAGTGCAGAGGCACGCAAGCCCAGCCCCTGCGGTTCTCACTCCCTGCTGCACACCAGCTTCCCAAGTTCCGCCCAGGGGGCTGTTGGCTTGTTAGAAATCTGTCTATGTTTTTGGGAAACTCCCTAATGCAACACTGTCTTTTCGAAAAAGAAAATCAAAGGATCAGCTTTATTTCTTTGCCACCAGGAAAGGAAAAAGTAGAGAATGTCCATGAAAAGTAAAAAGCAAGCAAATAAGCAAGATTTAGGACCTGGTGAAAGGCAGTGCCCTCCGGGAAGATGTGAGTACGCAGGCGCTGCCCGTCCCTGGGGATCCGAGCTACCTTCAGTTATGTGTCTGCACGGCTCGGTTTCATGTGATACAGAGGCAATCTGTGCCACTATTACACTTTAATTAGCCACAGATCAAACTCTTATGTTTGCTTAGCACATTTTGTGGGCCTCCTAAATTCTAATAATTAAGCTCCACTTATTTAGCTATTACCAAGTGCTGTGTAGTATGCTAAGTGCTTTATTGCACCATTTCTCTTAATCCTACCACCCCTCCTTTGAGTTATAAGCTATTATTATTTCTATTTTGCAGACAGATGGTAACTTGCCAAAGTCATGTACTAGGAAGGGGCAGAGTTCAGATTTCCAGCCAGGCAGCCTGACTCTGTAGCCTACATTATCCTGTCTCTCAATTTTTGCAAGCATTTGGGTGACAGAAGCAGTATAGCAAATATTTTTTTTTTTCTTTCTGTATCTAGGACAGGGTCTACAGGGTCTCCCTATGTAGATCAGATGCATAGTGATTCTCCTGTTTTCAGATTCCCAAGTGCTAGGATTACAGGCACATGTCACCACGCCCAGTCTCAATTGCAGTCTCAGTACACCACAGTATAGCTAATATGAAAATACCTCCAATTATACCTGTTTTCCTATGACATGTGGCTAAACAAATGTTAGGCTTCCTAGTGCCACTGGACTGTGGGGCTTAACAGAAAATGATTTAGGAGTGCTTCTAGCATTTTTCATTACCAAATGTCAAAAACCTTTCTTTGAACCCCTTGAGGCACTCCAGATTTCTTTAAGCGACAACGATGCACTTGGGACAGCCTATGCGCTTCTTCCACACCCATCTCTGGGCTGGGCTCTGTGTTCAAGGCCACGGCCTCAGAGGGCAGAGCTTGTGGGTGGCTAAGTCTCAGCCCAGGAAAGGAGAGCATGTGGGGCAGCCTCACCTGGACACACATATTCTTTCTTCTGCACGTCTGCCACGTTGAAGCCCCTTAGGTGCACAGGAGCCATGCAGAGTGTGAATTGGCCAATTGTCCTTCTTTGTCGCAACCAGTCTGAGAGCCAGGCTAGGTGGCAGTCGCAGTACAGGTGGTTGGAGTGGAGGCGCCTAGGAGATGAGAAGGAAGATGCTGTCATGCAGCGAAGGGAGGAGGCTACGTGTGGCTGAACGGAGTGGGCCAGACCTCTGTGGCCCCTTCCCCAGTGTGATAATTCTCAAGAGCTTGGGGAAACATTTCCCTGTGGGCTCCTGAAAACAGAAGCCTCAGCCCTTTTATTGCCAAGCCACAAATTATCTGCATGCGTAGGCCACATCCAATGGGTGCCCTTGGGGTTTTGAGCAATCCCCCTTCTTAATAAATAATTCTACTCTTTTCTTTCCCATGCAGGCACACAGTGGAGGGAGAGTGCCAATGTCACACCATCCCGACTGAGTAAAACTTATGGAGGGGTCACTCTTGCGTGGTTCATATTTTAGCTAGCCGAGATCTAGGTAGCTTGAGACATGGTTCCAACCTCAAGGCCTTCTCCGCATTGGCACTGAGGCTTTCCCCTTAGTTCTCCTTCCTCCCCTCCCCAGTGGTCCTTCAGAGGCCCACGGCTGGAAATGTAGCCAGGCCTGCCTGCAACCAGCACCTCTTGCACACGCTAGACAGTCTGGGTGGGGCGCAAAGGTAGCGGTGCTTCCTGAAGCATAGACCGCCTCTCTGCCTGCCCAAGGCAGTGAAATCCAGAGCAATGTTTCCTGGTGCCTCTCCCTCTTTGCTCAATTTAAATCCACTTGGAGTATTTGCCATTTTGACTGATTTAAGTGTCTCTGAAAGGATTTCCCAACCAGTTCCAGGGTTCTTTGGCTTTCCTCCTCTGGGAGCTGTGATTACAGATCAATTTCTTGCCCTTGAGTGAATAGGGTTCCCTGGAGGGACCTGCCTGTTCCACTTCTGCAGGGGAATCCCAGCTGGTTAAATGACTTGAACTTCCCTTCTGAGTGGCTGAGAATATTCAGGGGCTCTAAACAGTCTTCCTTAGGACTTTCCATCAGGGGTTTCCAACTACAGTCCTAGGTCCTTAAGTGCTGGTGGATGAGTTTTATTAGTATCAGGCTTGGGTTTCTGATGCAAATTTCAAAGGCCTAAACTCAGACATGCTAATCAGCTAGAGTTCTCTGGGGACTTTCCAGCGCTCTGTGTCAAGTCTGTTAATACTGAGTGGCAGCCTGAAGCACTGGCTTGGGTGCCTGTAATGGGACAGCTGAAGGGCTCTTGACCACATTCCACTCAGCCTAGGGTCAACACTGCCAAACAGGAGCCAAGTGCAGCTAACTCAGCTGCACGAGGTTGGAAGAGCACAAAGCGGCAGAAGGCTGGAGCTGTGGGGGCCTCGGCTGCCCCAGGTCTCATTACTTCAGAGATTAGATTAAGCCGCATCTCATAAAAATGTCCTTTTTTGAGTGTGATTTTGTTTTCATTTTGATACAGTTTTCTTTTTGTATTTCTAGGTAAGATGAGTGTACTTTTAGAAGCTCCTAGGGTCTGGATACAGTGACTATGTAGGTTCCCAGACATTTTTCCTTTGCAGTTTCAAAGATCAGACTCCTTGAGTTGAAGCAAGCTTGGCTTCCTCTTAGCCTGCACTCCAAACAGGTGTGACAGTTGGGAAGGGGACGGAGAGTGCCCTAGGACTCAGCTGGTGAGGAGGATTGCCATGCTAGGAGTAAAGCAAGCCCTCTGCTTGGTCACTCAGTAGGATCACTTTGTGTCAAGGGCAAAAGGAAAGATTGGCGAAGCATTTTCAGGTGCTGCATTACTGCTTAATGCAGGGCAAAATGGAGAGGAGAGAATACTATGGCCAGTAAACTCCCTAGGTATAAAGGCTGCAGTGGGTCGGCTGTGGACAGGGGGAGAACCCAAGGCGGGCAGCAGTGGCAGTGGAAACTGAGGTGCAGCAGTTCTTCCATCACCAGGAGAATCAGGGCCCTTTGATTAGCTTGGCTTTTATGTGAAAAGGCTGTTTCCTATCTGGCAGTGAGCTAAGGATGATAAGACCAGGGGTTTCACTATGAGGCAATAAACACAGGCCCCTGAGGATGATCAATGCAAACAAATTCTTGTCAGCTCCAACACAGGTCAAGAGACAAAGGAACAGCAAGATGAGGTCTGAATGAGTCAGGTCCTTCCTGGGCTGATTCATTTCTGGGATAGCTAAAGTATCAATGGTCTCCCTTCTGGAAGATTATGTTGGGTTGGTTCTTTCTCAGTCCTGGCTGGCCAGCAATATGCTACAGCTCTTCTTAGCCTTGCCACAGGAGCTCCTGTTCTTTTAGTCACCATCCTAGGAATTTTTCCCTTCCCAAGTGGGGCTGCAGAAAAGATGTGACCCAACAATGTGGGCTCTTGTTAAAAGCCTGGGACAGCAGATAGGCTCAGTTCCCTCCTCTAGGAATTCTATCCGTCAGAAAAGCTAGATGAGTCAAGCTGGGGGCAGATTATTTCAGTCCACCTTTCACTTCATGTTTGGGAGATCAAATGGGGTGATACCATCCCAAACACTACTATTAAAAGAAACATAATCATGGTGATCATGAAACTTGAGCTTGAGCATTGCCAGAAATAATCCTAATTATATTATGTGAGAGGAAATTATTTTAATTATTTTCCACAACTGGGGCAAGTTGTGACAGTGATGATACTGGGGGGGGCAGTGGCCTTCATTGGTTCTTGGGCCAATGGTATGGATTCAGGTATAGATGTCAAACTGTGTGAGTTTTACCCTGGTTCTATGCTTTTTTGACTTTGACTTTTGGTGGTGATTTAACTCTGGCTCTTAGGGTGGTTTTCTGTAAAATGCAGATGTTTGGAGATTGGTGCCTCTTCGTAGGGGTATTGTGAGGACTGAAACAATTCTTGGGAAGTGCTTAGCACCCGGTCTGGTGCACAATGAACCACTGAAGCAATGTTTCTTATTCTTACGATTCAGAGGACACTAGTCCACACTTCAGTCTCTTCCCAGCTGACAGATCTGCCCATTCAAGCCTATAGTTTTTTATTTAGCCACCAAGGTATCAAGGCGCTAGGAGGTTCCTTCATGCTGTTCTGCAACCTTTTATTGATGGACACATTATATTCCATGTTGATGAAACCACCTTTACAGAACATAAGGTGAGTGAATACAAATGCCAATTTATAAAAGGTGCCTTTTAGCCACAGACGCTAAATTAAATTTCTAGCAAACCCTTTTAGAGAGGGTCACTGTTCATTTTCTATAAAATGTGGCTTTCTGAATTCAATATAAAAGCTTTCCTTTGGAAATCCCATTTATGACTTCCTTCCTCTCTCCTTCTCTCTCCTCCACCACTACCACCAGACCCCCCCAAAAACTTTAATTACAGTGAAGGGGGATTAGTCAGCTCATCTCCAGGGAGCTCCATACAGAGCCATCTCTGAAATTAAACTAAAGAGAAAATGGCAGCAGGCAGGGAGCAGAGAGAGCAGATGAGATTGACTGATTGATTGGAACTCATCCCATGAATACTCAGGACCACAGAGAAGAATGACAAGAGAAGCAAGGAGATAAAGCCCTCTTGCCCTCTTCTCCCAGCCCAGTGCACCCCACAGAAGAAGCACCTGAGAGCCAAGCCTAAGCACCTCCTTCTCACCCCTAGGAACCCAGCCTTGCTCCTGCTATTGTTCCTCCTAAACTGAAAGTAATGAACAGAGGAAGTACAAAACTCAGGGGCGGGTCCAAGAGGCTGAGCCCCTGCCCTCTGCAGAAGAGAGCCATTTTCTTCTGTGTACCCATTTGTCTGGGCTGATGCAGTCCCAGCATTGTGAGACTTACTTTTTTCTTCTTGCCTGGGAGCCCTGGGCTACACACTTTCCCAGCTGAATTGTGGTTTGCTGGGGACTTTAAAGAGGTCTTTGAAGACCAAATGGCTTCTCCTTAAAATTCTAGTAATGTACCATGTCATTTTAAGAGGGAGGAAAAGGACAGATTCTCCTGGCTGAGGTGTGCTAACGTTGGAGGGATCCAGGGGAAAGTTTGGGGGTGAATATGGAAGTTTGGCTTGAGTTATTATTACTCTGCCTAGTAACTACTATTTGTTGTGTACACACCATGCGCCAGGCACTTAACATGCTAAAGCACATTCCATTCTCAGTGACCAAGCATTTACCTGCTCACTTTGCTTGACTAAAAGGATAAAGAACTATGCCCAAAATAAGTGGCAGAGCTCACATTTAAACCCAGGCCTCCCTGACTCCAAGTTCTGTCCTCCTTAGGGTGCTCCGCACTGCTTCCGTATAAACTACTTCATTGGTCTTTGTTTCATTGTCACCTGGAGAAAAAGTCACTTTTTAATAAGTGCAGTGGCTCTCAAAATATATCAGCGCATGAGGCTCCTGGGGGGCTTGTGGAAAGTGGACTCTGGGGTGAACCACCCTCCTTCCTGACTCCATGGGTCTGGGCTGGAGCCAGGAGATTTGCTTTTGTAGCAAACAGGCAATTCTGATGGGGCCGGTCTAAGGGACCCAATTCTGGGAACCACTGGACTAAGGGTTTTCAAATCTCAAGGATCTCATGTTGCTTGATGAGCGTAGATAAGCTGGTTGCTTGAAATGTTCAGTTTCTATTTCATATAACTAGTATGATAATAATAATGTTCTAATCAATATCATTCATTATCTGCCACATGTCAGATACCGTACAAATTTAATTCCATCTGATCCTCATACAATCCCTATTTATAGAGGAGGGAATGGAGGTCACAGAGTTAATAAAGGGCCTAGCAGCATCCTCACTCTTCACATTAGCTCCAGCAGGGTTTGGTTGAGAGTTCTCAGGAACTTGATCTTTCTTATGACTGCAAAGCAAATGCCCCCGAGGCTCTGCCGATGCAGGACAAGGACCAAGCACGAGAGGTTGAGAAAAGGCAACCAGGTCTGTCTGCAGAGAAATCAACGTGGGGGTTTCTGATGACAGTGGGTGGGGGTTCCCCATGTGACAAGAGTACTAGACACGTTCTCAGGTCTAGGCGTCATGGGGAGATTTGCTTCCTGTGTACACAGGCTGGAGGGCTTACGCTTATTAAGACACATAAAGATACAGAACCAAGTTTTCACACTCTAATATCAGAATAATTATCCAGGGATCAGGTGAGCAAGGGAATGCAGCATGGTGGGCCACGGTGGGATAGACAGAGGAGAAAGGACTCCCTCTGTCCACCAGTCCGAGAGCAGGAAACAACTGCAACCACTGGCATTATGACAGAACTGCCACTGCCACATGACCTAAGTCAACAGTGAAGCCATAACTTATAGTTCTGTATGTTCTAACCAATTTTCCTATTAAAGTGGAAAACATGGCAAACAATACAAGAAGGATTCTCAGGGCCCTGGACAAAGAGCACTAAGTCTTCTTGGTGCAGAACAGGGCTTGAGAACCACGGGCAGCACACAGAACTTTCCCGAATCAGCCGGCATGCATCAATTCACCCTATACTTAACAGCAGAACCAGAACTTTGAACATAAGAACCATTGCCCAAGAGCAGCATGGTGAGTTTGGGAAGCAGTGTAGAGTCCTGTACTTTGCACTAGTCAAGGTCAGGCAAGGCGGGGAGGAACCAGGTATTCTACTTACAGAGTCCGGATCTTTGGCATGTGGTTGAAGCTGGTGACCAGGATGCGGCTGATGTTGTTGTTGTTGAGCGTGCTGTGGAAAGAAGAGAAAGGAAATGGTCATCGGGGAGCAGGCTGGAAAATCAAGATGTTGATAGAAGCGGGGAACGGCAGGGGTGTAACTGCAAAAGGACCCTAAGTCAACAGCCACAAAGAAGTCAGAGGATGGGGCTCCCAGATGATGACATGACCCACTTGCTCTCTGCTGCCTTCCTAGCTCTTGTTTACCCACTTTGAGTGATACTTTCCCTCCCTGAAAATCCACATTGTGCTCAGTGTTTCATTATGAAATCTCTCATTCTTACAATGACAATACCAGTTACATGTTATTATCCTCTTTTAGACAGAAAAAAAGCCCCAGACATACAACATTTTGCTTGGTGACATACGACCCCACAAAGTAAACATTATGCTTGTGTGATGGATGAAGTGGCGGATCTGCAGAGCAGCTCGGTGATTCTCTCAAGGACCACAGCTGCTGAGCTCTGCAGAGTGGCTCTGAATCTAGCTTTCCTTCACTTCCTTCCTGCTCTGTGCATGGTGCATGTTCCCTCTTGCCTGATGCTGCATGGAGGTCATTCTGTAGAATCCATGTATGTTCTGACCCTTCAAACATGTCTTACTTCAAAGGCCTGTGGGAGCTCTGTGAAAAGAGCTAAGCCTCCTCCTTCCCGTGCAGTGCGGGACCATGAACACAGCACCTAATGCAGTGCTGACACAACTGGCACTGTTGTCCGTGGGAAAGCAAAGACGAAAATGTGAGCTCTCGCCATTGGTTCACCAATGGAAGCTTCCGTTGGTTAAGGAGACTTCTGCCTTGGGCTCTTTGTAAATACACCGTCTTCCTCGTAGGTGACTGCTACAGTAGAGGATGGAGTGAAATAAGGCTGCTGAAGGATGACCAAAGCTATAGGCAAGTGCTAGTGCTTCTGAGGCTTATCCTTCTAGAAGGAGTAGCATGAAAGCCAAGGAGGCCAACTGGAGAGGCCTGTGGTACTATGCAGTGGCAGGGCCTCTGTGGCTCAGCTGATTCTGAGACATCTCATTCTTCTTCATGGGAAGACTGGCCTGGTTCTCAGCTCTCAGGCCCACACCTGCCTCATTAGGCATCCCAAAGAGCAAGAGCTGGATACAGTCTGTGGTGCAATCTGTCAGGGTGGCTACTTGCTTCTGGGTCCTCAATTTCTCTGCTCCTCTCAGGACCACATGAGAGATATCTTCTCACCAATCCAACAAACCCTGCATATCCTGAGCCACCCACAGTCTTCAGTGACCAGGAAGGAATTTTTCTTGGGAAGTTTCCATTGGTTAAGGAGACTGCTGTCTTAGGCTCTTTGGAAATACTCCTCCTTCCTCTCAGGTGGCCGCTACAGAATGAGCTTTGCAGAGGCAAGGATAGTTTCCACCTTGTGCATGGCCATAGCCCCATGACTTGGTCCATTCATGGTTCAAGCTGAGTCCTCCTAGTTCCTTGTTGTACAGTCTTGAGTAAGTTACTATGTTTCTTATATACAGATTTGCTGTCTGTGGAAGGAGGTGGACAGTGGTACCAACCTCATAGACTGGTTAACAGACACTGGGGGAATCAACTCTGGTCCTAGCCACTTTTACACCCTCACCCCATCCTCATGGAGATAGAAACAGCTTTATTCAACCCATAGTGATTCCCATACCCTTGCCACCTGAGGGCTCTGCACAGGTTCTTTCTCTTGCCCCTTGAGACCCTAGTCTGAAGGATTCTAGTGATCCTATCTCCCCAGCTCCAACTATTCCTCAAATCCCCTGGTCCATACATCATTTGCTTGGCTAGGAAGGCCGGAAAGAAGTTTGCCTACACAGGGGTACAGAACCCAGCTCAGATTTCTCCCTCCTTCCCACACTCATTGTGCACTTGACATGCACCTGGCAATAGGTGAGGCCCAAAGGGTGGTGAAGAGGATGGAAGGTACCTGGCTTATCCTGCCTGCCACAGGTACCCAGTTTACACTGCCCTAACTTCACCACTGAAACTCATACAGAAACTTGGAATGTTATGAGGTTGATTTTGAGGTTCTGTGTGGCTTGTCTTTTCTCCTTTGTCTGACTCTGTGGGGAGTCCATCCTGACTTTGTCCACCCTCAATGCCTGCAGAATATCTTATCAGAAAATCCCGAGGAGTTTGTTTGCTCCCCTCAGACCAGGCTCTCTTCCTCCACTGGCTCAGTAAGGCCTTAGGACAGAAATGATGCTTTCAGGGATTATCCATCGCAGAGATTGAGATGCCACAATTGGGAGACACCTCCTTAGGGCAGTTGACTGACTCCCAGGCAGAAAACTAAGTATCCTCTTTATCTCTGAAAGGCAAATGGCAAGAAGCTTGAGCAGAGCAGCAGCTTCCTTTTGACCCCGTCTGAGCACTCACAATTGGGTGGAGGCCACAGCCTGCCCTCACGGAGCTGAGTACACAGCACAGCTATACGCAGGGCTTCATCTAGAACTGCACCGGCAGTGGTCCGGTGGTGATGACTTATTAATGTATTACTACACTGATATTTAAATGTGAGCCATAATGAGAGCTATAAAACATTTACGATAATAGCAATTATTCCAGAACCCAAATGACTAAACACAGTATCCAGACTTTCCTGATTTGCCCCTGGGGCCTGGCCAGCCCAGGGATGGCAGAGGGCTGCTAACCTCCGAGACACTGACTTCTCTGCAGCTGCATTTTCTGCTTCCCTGAGAAACACAGATTTATTTGATGTCTGGTCTTGGCAGCTTCTGCCAGCGAAGAGTGCACTCTGGCCTGTCTGGTTCGCGTGTCCCGTCTAAGCAGCTGCCATTCAATGGCGCGATGGGTGTGGTGTCCTTGAGACAGAGTTGATCAGCATGGGCTTCTGAGGCAGAGACCTGGTGCTGAGCCTGCTTCTGCCCCTTACCTCCCATGTTGCCATGGGCAACCTTTAACAATACTGTTAAGTTTCCTCCTTTGTAACCCCGAGAGAAACATCTCATAGAACTCCAGTGGTCATTAAATGAGATGATGCTAATAATTGTCAATGTGAACTGAGTGCTTTTTGTGTGCCAGACAGACTGTGGGCTGAGGGTGCTGCAGTTTCCCACCCCATTTAACTTCTCTACCACTCCATGAGACGGAGACTTTTGTTATCATCTGTGTTTCATGGACGAAGCAAGTGACAATGCCAAGACTAAAATTTAATCAAGCGAGCCCACCTCCAGTAATGAGTCTGTATTACTTTCCTATTGCTGCTATAATAGGTGACTATGAATTTAGTGGCTTAATTTTATTCTGTTACACCCTGAAGGTCCCAAGTTCACACTGGGCTCATGGGGCTGTGTGTTTTTGAAGGCTTCAGGCAGAAGAATTTCTTCACTGGCCTTTTGCAGCTTTGAGAGGTTGCCCTCACTGCTTGAGTTGTGGCCCTTCTTTGGGTCCCTCCAATCTCCTGCTCCCTTTTTAAGGACCCTGTGGGCTAGATTTAGAGCCTCCCAGATAATGCAAGATAATCCGTGCATCTCGAGGTTCCTTAAGGCAATCAAGTCCCCCAAGGGTCCCCTTTGTTACTGAATGTAATATTCAAGGGATCTAAGCACTTACGGCTGGCCTGGCACGTAATTAACACGCATTAGTAATTAACTGTTGTTACCATAGCTTGTGTTCATGTAGCCCTTCAGGGTTTGCACTTCAGTGTGACAATACCACATTTGTTTCATCTAATTCTTGCAACACGCTGTGGTTGGAATTATTCCCATTTTAGAGATGAGTGAACAGAGGCTAAGAGAAGCTAGGAGACCTAACAAGGGTAGTACAGCAGAGCTCCTTGTAGATTCAGGACTTGTGATTTTTTTCTTTACACTGCATTGCCCCTTCCTCCTACATTTAGGGCAAACTTATCACTGTAGTGCCATCTTTTCTACCATATTTATCCTGGTACCCAAAGCTAGAAACAGCTACACAAACCTCCCTGCTTATTCTCCTAAGAGTTCTTGAGTATTAACCAACAGACAAAGGGCTCATTCACACAGTGGCACCACCCCACCACTCCCCTGGGCCGCTGGTCCATCCTAGCTGATGGTGCCCTCATCGGCCTCCTCTCACTTACCTCTCTCTCCTGGAGCAGTTTTGCTAGCTGGAGTCCACCTTCAAACTCACAGCTATGTTGTTTTAGAGATTTTTTGAGAAGATACACTGTCCTTGCCCCAGATTTTCCAGGTAGCAGTTGAAAAATTTTCCCTAAGTACTCTGAATTCAGCATTTTCCATCAGGTTTTAAGCTGAAGTTCAGGGTCCAATTAATTCACTAAGTTTCAGCACAACCTGGCTTCTCTTTACCCCAATCACAAGCTACTGAATGGACATTTCAGCATGAACTAGAAATAAAGCCAACTCGCTCCCCCTGGGGTCAGAATGGTGGTCTGCCTATCTCTCATTTCTTTCCTACAAAGTGTTTTTGGTTTTTTTTTTTTTTTTTTTTGGGCAGAACCAGGGATTGAACTCAGGCCCTTGTGTTTGCAAGGGAAGCACTTAGTCTACTGAGCCATCTCCTTGGCCCCTCCTACAACGTCTTTACCCATTCACAAATACTGTATTTATACCAAGACTAAGTTTGGCCTGCATACTGTCCAGCTGCTCTTTGACTTCGTCGTGACTGGAGCACAAACTCCTAGTGAAAATTACTCCTTCTCACATTAAAATGACTGGGCAATGCTATGCCTCCCAGTGGACCTCACACTCACCCGCTGTTAGCACTAGGAAGGCCACACTAGCATAGTGCCCAGGGCATGAGGCTGAACCTGTTATTGCCCCTACAGCACATAAATAGTACCTTGTGGCCCTGAAAGAGTTTGTGATTGCCCAAGTTGTTCAACAAATAAAAAGGTGCTATGGCAAGATGAAGGGTCCTAGTACTGTCTCGTACATGAGGACCTGGTGCAGGCAGTGGTCAGCTCCCAGAGTCGGAGAACAATGCTCCCAGGTCAGACGCCATCCCATGCAGACTGGGTGGTTTTTTGTTTTTTTTTTAATGCTTTATGA